TTGACACCTATGCAGGCATGTGGTTGGGCTTTTTCAGTATTCATGGAAGCTCCTGAACCTTTGTGGTAATTGAATCAGTTAGAGTGCTGAGTGGAGCAAGCATAAAAACCTGTTAACCTAAAGGTCAGATCTGTGCATTGTTTATTTATCAGAAGGTTGAAAGAGCTAAATCGGCAGCTACTGTCACAGAGGCAGTAAAAAATTACCCATAACAATAACAGGGAGTAGATAAATGAAAAACTCTGGGTTAGAATTATAAACAGAAGAAGCTGAAATGTGTAATTTAAAACTCTGTTGGGGACAGAAACAAGCATTTAAAAATATTGTCTATACAGATCCTGGAAATCATTCATATGCAAAATGTATTTATAGGATTTCAATTTACTTTTTGTGGGAGACTAATGTAATTAAAATGCCAGCAATAAGGTGCATTAAATTGGAAATAGCATTGATTATATTATTAGGTACTATTGCATTTGTGTAACCTGAGCTCTGAAGGTTATGAGGCTGGGGAGGCCAGAGGCTCTGTGCATGCACATTACTGCATTGTGGACTGGGATTCCAACTGATGCTACCACCCTGGTGTGTTTACCTGGCACAGAAGCTGAAAAATACATAGAAAAGATCTTGCACACTTTTGAAACTCAGTCCTGATGGATTATATCAAATATCTTTCAACAGAAATCCTACTAGGGTTCATTTCACAAGAAAAATAATGCATTCCTAAAGGAGTCCTACTGGATATTTGTAGAAGTCAAAAATTATTTTAAACTTAGAAGTCTGCAGGATGCTATATACAGTAAATTCTGTCCATACCAGGAATCATACTGAGGCTGATCTGGGCTCTGTTCTTTCTATAATACATTTATTATAGAACATACATATGTATTCTGACTAAAGATGGAATAAAGGCACTTCTGTCTGCTGATACTGGTGTCAAAAGGGTATTATCTTTTAACAGGATCTATTTTTTTTCTTTCATCTGACTAAAAAGCACTGGTACATGTATAATCACTGCTACTATTTATGATTAGATTTAAAGAAAACAAAACATATTTTGCTGGCTGAAGCTTTTTAATTTTTGTATTGTAATTTTACCAAATGAACATGTAATGGTGTACATTATACAGTATAAATGTATATTTACCTTTTTTGGTTGAAGTTCAAGAAAAAGCTATTAATTTAGGATTTTAGATGTTGAAAATAGTTTGAGCAACCATTGAGGGTTTTATCACAATGTGTAACAAATACAGTGTATTTGTAATGGAACATATACATATTTTGATCTGTACATTTTGTTTAAAACTGGTTACATCAAAAAATATAATAAAATAGATTGTTTTAAAACCTGTATTATGCTATGGCATAAAACTATTGAATTATTTAACTGTCTTTACTTAATATAAAGTTTTCAGCAGTTAACTTTACTGTTTGGTCATGGCTAGGGTATAGACGCACTTTAATGGTGAAGACAGCAAGTATTCAATAAGAAATAATTTTGTTGTTGGTCATTGTAGAGTTGTTAATTAAAATTGGGAACTGGAGGCAAGGAATTTCCGGTACACCAGTTCGGTGGGCCTAGAAAGGCCCTTGACATCACAAAGAAAATAATTAAAGCAAACAACACACTTATTTAATTATACAGTACATCAATGATAGAAGCTTAAGCAATTCAACTCAAGATGTCAGGCCTATTGTATTAACGGGGATCTATGAAATTATAGGAGTTACTGAAAAATGGCTAGGAGAGGATAACAGGAATGTGTATAAAATTAATGGGTACATAATATTTGGAAAGACAGGAGGATTGAAGTGATGGTGGTGTGGAACTATATATTAAAAAATAATCTGCAAGATAGAGAACTGAAGCTAGAAGGTATGAACAGATTATAATATGTGGGAGTAAGATTTGAAAATAACAATTCTTAACAATAGATGCATGCTACAGACCACCTAATGTAGACATGGACACAAAAAGTTTATTGTATGATGACATTAAAAAGTTATCTACTGTAGCTAAAATAATATTATGTTACTGATGAGGGGATAAACTGTGCATGTATAAATTGGCATATTTAAATGGTTAGTCAGTTTGTAAAAGCACCAGCTAAGAAATATCATCTTATTGACCTTATCTTTTCAAAAGACTAGGGTATAATTAAAAACACATGTGATAGAGCCACTGGGAAATTGTGACCATAATTTATTATAATCTATATACCTTTGGTCTCTAAAATGTGAATCAAATCTTTTTTTTTTAAGTTTAGAAATAGACTATGAAGGAATGAGACAAAGTTTACAAATAAACAACAGACAAGGAATGAAGTCAATAGCAAAAAGATTACCATGCTTAAAACACATATGTTGAAGATTACAAAATAATTAATCCCTAAAACAGCAATTAATAAACAAATGAATAAATGGCTTAGTGCAGACATTAAAAAAACAAGTTCCGAACAAAATGCAAGTGCATTAGAGAGTTTACAGTATATGGAAATAGTACCATATATCTTCAGGTACAGACAAAAAGAGAATTACCATTAAGGGGAACAAAAATAATAATTAACAAAATAATAATTGCATTATTAACATTTTTAAAACTGTAAAACCAATACTTTTCCAGGGATAACCCATGTTCCGGTGTTCATATATTATTGTATGTCTGGTGGCTATAAAATGATGGGATAATACCCAGATATTCAGAATTCATTATCAATTTAAGTAAAGAATATCTCTAAAACTATTTAGACTTCCAGAAAGCTTTTGATAAGGTCCCTCACAATGTTTTTAATTTTTAAAGTAAGAGCCATTGTAATTGAGGATCACAGCACATGGAAAATAACTCATTAGCAAATAGGAAGCGATGTATCATCAGGTAGAATTTAATGTGTGTGTGTGTGACTGGGGTTCATTGTAAATTTGCTCTTTGCTCACCGAAACAGGGAGACAGACAACTGTTGTATGTGACATTTCAGTAGTTATAAGACGGAGATAACCACTGTCAAAAATAACCATTGCACTACTGTAATATTTATATAAGTCCTAATGCATAGACAAAGATTTCTCCTAAACATGACATTTATGGTAACAGAGAGTTAGTCTAAAGTATAAACGTTGGTTGCAAATGTATGGGTGTAGAGCATTAAAGAAAATGTACTTTTTTGTCCTCTGAAATGCTCTTTTTAGTTACTGTACGTTAAAACTCATTTCAAACCATCACTGAGCTGTGGTGTGACTTTTTGTGACCCTTCAATTTTATAGAGCACAATGTCTAATTGGGCATGTCGTATGTAAACAATGCCATAAGCTTTCATATCAGTTTTTATGTGTGTTTGTCCTTCTGAACAAAAATTAGAGTTTCAAAGATATATAAATGAGTTGAATTTGCACTTACATTCAGGGACTTTACAACTAGCATATAATGTTTAGATTCGGTCCACATGCATAAATAGGATATTATAGCCTCAGAGAAAGAGTTTGAAGAAATGCAACAAGAATGATTCCTCATCTTGGGATTGATTGTCATTTACTGTAACAATAAGTGAAGGGGCCTAAAAAGAAAGAGATTGCAAGGGAATTTAATTCAAATATGCAACAATCTATAGGTTTAAATAGGGACTATTTCACTTTAGATAAACATGGTTACAGTTGGAAATTAAAAGAGAATTCATTTAGGATGGAGAATAGAAAACACTTCTTTTCACAATTAGGTGTGGGTATCTGTTCTGGAACAGGTTTGCCAGGCAGATGGTTCAGGCCCAATCTCTGGGCACCTTTAAGAAACAGCTGGATGTTCATTTACCTCCTAAATCACCAAATGGGCAAGATTGGCCAGAAAACCTCCTCTGATTTGCATCCTGTCTTAATAAGTTTTCTTATTTGTTTGATACTATGTTTGGGTGAGTAGTGTATGTGTAAAAGTATTAATTGTTAAAAACAGTCTTACAATCAAGTCACATATCTTTATCACATGGATTATTATTATTTATGCGATACATTTGTGAAACGTCATTATAACAATTACATATGGTAAGCTAAAATATGCAGCTGGTCTGCTTAAAATGGAATACAAGTTTATTTGTCAAAGAAATACATTTCAAGATGCCTGATGATACTATGCCTGAGTCCACATCAGTAGCTGACACATACGCTGGGGGAAAGACTAATCATGTAGTTTATGTATTTTGTTGGTTAGAAGCATATGGTTTCATTCCCACATTTACTGTAGATATAGAATTTTAATAATTGTATTATCAATTTATTAATTTTACTAATTGTCTAAAATCACAGATTTGAATGGTTAATGTAGGAAACAGGGAGCATAACAAAAAAAATTGCATATACAGTACCATTCTTAACATATGAGTCTGGGCTTCAAAAATCTATGGGTAATACTTGTTGGTGAAAAGAAATGCACTGTGTGTGCTGAATTGTTCATATGATATAGATTCTATATGCTAAAATACATATTTTAATTATGTATCACTGCATAGGTTTCTGTTGCATTGACCAATTTATTACTGGAGATGGTTAATGGAAATAATTTATTTAGCAATTCAAATGGTGCAAAGTTTTCAGTAGAAATCTACTTTGTAAAAAATAAGACTTTTTTTACATAAGAATTGCTAGTAGCATTTTAAAATTACTTTGGTGTAACCTACAACCTGCCCTTTATGGTATGCTCCCATATACAGTATTGAACACATTATGTATGAGTTTAGTTTCATGATTAAAGCAGTACAATACAGCATTAAAATAGAATTACAAATTACGATGACAACAACAAAGCCACAAATGTAATTGTTTTCTTTAAAATGATAAGCATCATTAGACTCTATATGATACAGTCATAATATCAATGATGACAAATGGGATTAAATGAATCACAAAGGTCAAGAAATTACAAATAAAAAAGATACCTGAGTTACCCAACATTTCACAGGGAGAATGAGAAGGAGATTTCCAATAGACTTGATATGATTTCTTTGTTTTACTTACAGGACCTGGGCCAGTGGACCCACCTGTCATTTCTGAAGTGCAACCAAAAAGGGCAACGATCACCTGGCAGCACCCATCCCAACCCAATGGTGTCATCACTCACTATAACATCTACCAGAACAGCACTTTGAAGGCTACTGCAGCAGGCAACAGCACCATGTATACAGTGGCTCATTTAGAACCCTTCAAGAAGTACACATTCAAAGTAGAGTGCTGTACAGCAGCAGGGTGCACACTTTCTTCTGAGTCCCGTGCTGTTTATACCCCCCCAGCACCTCCTGAAGATATTCCTGCTCCACAACTATTCTCTGACAGCCCCACATCTGTGCTTTTATCCTGGGAGCCTCCCCTTCACCCCAATGGTGAGGTGGAGCATTACACAGTGGAGAGGAGAGTGAAAGGCACCCAACAGATATCTACTGTTGCTACTGTGCTGGCTGATGAGCCCCTAACTTACCTTGACAATTCAGTGAGTTTAAGTCCCTGGACAATGTACGAGTATCGGATTGTGGCCTCCACTGTCAATGGAGGCCTCAACAGTAGTGACTGGAAGGAAGTTACCACAAGACCATCAAGACCAGCCGGACTGCAGCAACCTAAAGTATTGGTTTTGGGTCCAGATGGAATTGAGGTAGGGCAGATATTAAGTATTTTTTGAGGGAATGTCATCATGCAGGAATGCTTGTTTTTATTTCAAGTTTCTTTAGTTCCCTGTGCAATGCAACATCCATTATTTAGATGAGATTGTCACTGTACTAATTATTATTACGGTTTGGCTCCCTTTTTAATATTTTACATGAAGGCTACCTCAACTTGAGGCCCCTCCAGCCCACTCCATTACAGTTAATTATTTAATTGATATTTACCATTGTCAATAGAGCAATTAAGGAGTTTGTTGTATCAAAGTACTGCAATGGATCAGACAGGTAGAGTTGCAAGTAGCCTTTGTTCACACTGTGTACCCTACATATTTATGGGATCACAACCTAAAGTTTTTATTACTGCAGCTAATTATGACTGCCAACTGAAAAGTTATTGTAACAGTGCTGTCTGTAGCCAAATATGTGAACTAACTTTACATCATAATTGATTATTATTATTGATTAAAAAAACAGTTTATTGGAGGATGGCAAGAACAAACAAAACTGATATACAAATTATAATGGGCTGATAAAGCCCTCCACGAATATTGTAGTTCTTCTTGTAATTCAATAGAAAATATACTCAAGAGAACAGGGCAGCTAGCAGTGTTTTTGGCTTGTATTCAGGCTGGATTCAAGGGAAATTAATGTAACCAAACAAGAGGGCTTTGCAGCTTAGAATCATCTTTGTACAAATACACCCACATGCACATTTTTATTCAGACCTGTACAGGTGCCAAAAATATTGGTGGAAATGCTTCTCTAAACAAAGACAGTGTTAATATTAAATCACTCAAATTCTCGTTTTTAATTTGTTTTCACAAAAAAAAAACAGATTCAGTATAATGGTGTTAAAAACCAAAAATAAGCCTAGAAGCAATCAACAAAACAAGTCACCACGTGTCAAATTGTGCAGTGTATTATATCTCTATATAGTTCCTATGTTTTTCAAAACATGCATTCCAGTGACTCACAAGTTTCTTGATATTTCTTTAGATCCTTTAGATTGTTTTGGTTGCAGTGTAAGTCATACTTGCCCTGCCTGTTGTCATACAGGACAGAACTTGACCTCTTTCAGACGGTCAAAGATCTGAAAAATGCTTGGGACAAGCTCTGAACTACTTGGAGGATGTTTAGTTGTATGCAAAGAATTGCTGCACAAGTGTTAGTCTTTATGGTCTCAAAGCATGAACTAACATCTATATGTACAGTATAATAATACCAAAGTAGAATACTTAATATGCATTCCTTTTAAGAATTCTAGCATAAGAAAGACCTAGCATGCTCCCTTGAATCCACTTTTTCAATCAAATCTTGTTTAGTTTAAGGGATTGCAAAAACGTATAATTTAAACACCTTAATTTAATTTGGTTATTTAACTTACATATTTTTACAAAATAAATGTCATCAAAAGATTTCTCACTTTTATTTCCAAATCAAATGATACTACTTCTGGTTTGCACATTTTTATTTATCTGTCATTTGTGTAAGTCTAACTAATCACTTTGCATTATGTATTACAGTCATTTATCTCATACAAAACTTAAATTTAGATGCAATAAATTCTCTAAATTTTCAAAAAATGTTTTAAAGTTGTATAAAAAGGTTGCAATGATTAATGCAAACTAGCCTGATAATTTACTAAGGGCAAATGTACTGTAGTGTATAGAGCCTTACAAATCATTTAGACCCTTTCTATTGTGCTCCAGTTTGTAAAATTACAAAATCATGCATGCATATTTTTAAATTTAATATTCAAACCTGCATGTTCAATCTGTCTTAAGACAAGTAACAGTAGATGCAAAAAGCAAAATTGAAGTAACTGAATAATTGATAGTAGGAATGGTGTTGATGTGAGATGTAACATTTTGCATTCAGAAAAGTGTCCATAAAACTTTTGCCACATATTTTCAGAATTACAAATGTGCTTTGTTGCATACCCCATATGGGATTTGAGATTTGACCCATTGATGTTTTCTCTCATCTCAGCCACTGTACTCTGTTTCACTTTCAAAGTCACCATTGGCCTCATGGTGGAATCCCTTAGAAGTTTCATCTTTGCTTTGGCTGCTCAGTCTGGAGATACATCTTGATCTAGACAGTATCTGAGTCCCCACCACTTTTTGAAAATCAACTTTACCATCCTCAAAAATATTAAAAAGTCTTTGCACTGTTATTATACCTTCTCCCGATCTGTTCCTTTTTTACAACTGTATCCCTCAGTTATTTTGAAAGCTTTGTGATCATTACACTAATGGTTTGGCTCCTTGAGGTAATTGTGAGCACCTAAATTAAGTTTGCCACAGCAATGATGGCTTTTCTGTTTTTTCTATATTAATTATTAATCTATTTAATTCTTTGAATGTTTGTTTTGCTTTGAATGTTAATTGCTAATTGGAAACATCATCACTGCAAGTTTAAAGCAACAAAAAACAGAAAAGAAAATATCTAAATACTTTTGCAAGGCACAGTACTGTCAATACAAAAGGTCACTAAATTGTTAAATAAGAAATATTTCATTTAACAATGGAGAAAAAAATTGTTTGAAATTTCATTCAGAATCTTATAAAATCTTTACGTGTATAATTTACAGTGCTTCTAGTAGATACACCTTCCTAAAATATTCAACCTAATTTGCTGCTTTGATCCATTATGAAGTGCACAGATAGATTTCTCAGGGTTATATACTAATAAATCAGCACTGGATTTTTATTGGTTTTAATATAATTTTGAATACAGACAAATTTATTGTGTTTCAGTTTTTGATGTTGTATTTTCAGGTGACATGGAGTGCTCCACTAATTTCAAATGGGGAAATCCTTCGCTATGAAATACGCCTGCCAGATCCTCGTATCTCTATCACGAACATCTCAGAGTTGAATTATACTGTTACTAAACTGATTCCATACAGTAACTACACAGTTACCATCTTGGCTTGCTCTGGTGGTGGTGGTCACACAGGGGGGTGCACAGAGAGCTTACCTACCTTTGTGACTACATTACCCTCAATTCCACAGGGCCTTCACCCCCTGTCGGTTATTGCTGTTAGTCAGTCATTTCTTGCTATTTCCTGGCAATCACCATCAAGACCTAATGGACCAAATCTAAGGTAAGCCCAACTACCTTTTTCACTGACACTAAAATACAAATGTCTCTAACTGGATGATTTTCATGATTCACTATATTTGGCAACTAATTGCATTAGAATGAACCACTTTTTTGAAGGTATTCAAAATGTGAAAACAATTATGAAAGTAAAGTATTAAATAAACAAATAACTATTGTTGAAAATTACAGTAAAGTAGAATAATACTGTAATTCTTATGAAATTCAAAACAATAAGTCCATCATTTGTGACCATTTTTCACATTCACCCTACTTATCAATTACATATCATCCACGTTTAAACAGATTCTTCAAGTAATATTGATTGCATTCCCAAAAACCAGCCAAACATACTGCGTAAACAGCTTATTAGTATTTATTTTGATTACAAATACCCTTTACAAATTTAAGCGGACACAAACTGACACCCACTATTTCAAAAAGATGTTTATCCAATTTACAGTAGTAAGCATAAAAAACATTGTTTATTTAAATTTAATTCTTTAGTAATTTTCGGGATGGCATGGTGGCACGGTGGTTAACTTTGCTACCTTGCTGTAGTGGAGCCCTGGGTTCAATTCCTTGAGTGCTGTCTATGTGGAGTTTGTACTGTATGCTCTCTCCATGTTATCCTGGGTTTCCCTCTGGGTGTTCTGATTTCCTCCCTCAACCCAAAGACCCTGGTGAGATTGAGTGCATGTTTGTGCGTGTGTACCCTGTGATAGACTGGTACCCTGCCATCTGTCCATGTTTTCTGGGATAGGCTCTGTCTCCCCCGCAACCATGTGTTGGTTGGTAAAAATTGATGAACAGATTTAGTCATTTCCCAGTGGGCAAAAGACGTATAATATACGTCTATTAAACGCATACCTTAGACATCTAAATGTGGTCCGCAATTCGTCTAGAATGAAATTCTAATATACGTCTATTGTTATACGTCAATTATATGTCTATGATTAGATGTTCATTATACGTAAATGGTTGGAGTTCTATTATACGGATAAATTTAGAAGACTATTATACATATATGGTAGGAGTTCCGGATAACTTTAGAGGACTTATATACGTATATGGTTAGAGGTCTATTATACAGATAACTTTAGAGGTCTATTAACGTATATGGTTAGAGGTCTATTATACGGATAACTTTAGAGGTCTATTATACGTATATGGGTAGAGGTCTATTATACGGATAACTTTAGAGGTCTATTATACGTATATGGGTAGAGGTCTATTATACAGATAACATTAGAGGTCTATTATACGGATATGGGTAGAGGTCTATTATACGTATATGGGTAGAGGTCTATTATACATCAAAGATAGGTTTTACAGGTGTAGAAACTAGTAAATCAACCCAATGATTTGGTTTAGAAATGAATTCTGAAAATATACATTCACACCTGAAAAATATGTATTTAAAATTATACATTGTATACATTCAATCAACAATCAACATATGGGCAATAATCACAAATCAAAAACACAACTAGTCTTAAACTTCAGCTACAATTTCTGGTAACATGGCAATATACAGTATAATAATGACAAACACAAACTAATTACATTAACACACTAACTCAAAACCACATTTTGATTCAAATATACATTTTAAAATGTAAAACTTCTATATTTCCAAGAAAAAAAATATTACAATGGAAGTTAAGACGATTTTTGTCCACTATTTGCAAGCCCTGTCTAATTGTCCTAATTCTTTTTCTGTTGATGTAGGGTGGGACTTCAGCACCGCAGCTAGGAGAAAATTATATAATATTACTTTCCAAATATATGATGATTAATATCTTCTTTAGTATAATCTAAAAAATGAACGGTTTACTAAGCTCAAAGCTGAAATAAATGTATAAAATTTGGCTTGCATCATAGCA